TCTTCCTTTTCCTTTAGGCACTGGAAGGGGCTCTAAGGTCTTCCTAGAGCCTTTTCCTCAGGGTGAATACCCCCAGCTGTCCCAGCCTGCCTCCACAGGAAAAGTATGAAGAAATATACAAGCATGAGGCTAGTAAAAGAACCTTGATAATAATCTGCAATTCAGAGAGTAAAAGGCTGATTAATTCTCCTGTGTTCAATCCAGCCTTCCAATATCCTGCTGGATGCACAGTGCTGTGTGAAGCTCTGTGACTTTGGACTGGCCCGCTCCCTGCGGCAGCTGARTGAGGAGCAGGCAGCCCCTGTGCTGACCGAGTACGTGGCCACACGCTGGTACCGGGCTCCGGAGATCTTACTGGCCTCTCGCAGGTGAGTGAAGGGATAGGGGCCTGTGGTTTCTTCACCACTGGCAAATTGTTCTGTTTGAAAGTCTTCAGTCTTTTAATTTTCAGTGTCACCAGATGCAGCATCATGTCAGCAGTCTGTTTTCTCAATATACAGTTCAGGTTCAGTTCTGCAACATAAAAACCTCTCATGAACATGTACATGTCCTTTCTGTGTTCTTAGAATGTCAATGGACTTACATGAGGAGCTCATCTGTTTGTYGCCCTTTCTCCCACCAGGCTTATTTTTTCTCCCTTAAACCAACAATTTTACAAAACTTGCTTGAGAATGTAAGTCCTCTTTTCCAAACTGAAGCAGTGTTTTAATAGACCTTCAGTAAATATTCTGTAATCAAATGTTAAACCAGCTGCCTGCTAGTCAGGCTTGATCCTTTTTTTTTTGTAATTACATTTGAAAAAACAGAAAAGTAAATAAATAGATGTTGGAATAGTATCCAAATCTTAAATGCGGATGTTTTGCAAACTGACCTATACCCATTGTTTGGCACTTAGTTTGCTTAAAAATGTAATTTTAAACTAACTGTAACCACTTCGTACATACCTTATGACCAAAGTCAATAGTTTCCAAAGCACAGCGTGTATTTTCATTCTTGGTCATATGAAAAGGATATATTACCTTGTTCAGGCATTAACTTTATTACCTTTTTCTTGAATTTCCCTGTAATATATTTCTTTTTGTGGTTTATTTGATGAGACTTCGGGTAGGATAAATCTCCTTTCTGTTTCATGCTTGCCAGTCTCTTGATTCCCAAATGTTATTCCATTTATAGTTCAAACCTGGGAGCATTTATATCTGAGAAGACACCAAGCATGCCTTCTGGCATAATCAGTTCAGGTGAATAACAAGTACAGGAAAATATTTGCTTGATTTAATCCTAACTCTGTTCTGTTCCTGTTTGTAGTTACACTAAGGGTGTAGACATGTGGAGCATTGGCTGTATTCTAGGAGAGATGCTGCTTGGAAAACCCCTTTTTCCTGGAACATCAACAATGAATCAAATAGAKCAGATCCTGAGGGTTATCCCTGCTCCGTCCCCAGAAGGTAGGACTCTGCTGTGGGGAAAGGCATCTAGAGAAGGGGTTAAGAGTGGAAGGAAGCAGCCTGGCTGGGTCAGGGAAGAAGGTATCAGTAATTCTGGGAGCTTTTCAAGGAAATTAAAAACTTCATTGTGAATGTTAGTGTTACAGGAAGATAAGAAATTCAGATATCCTGCTGCTTCTGCCTGTGACTATGAGAATGCAAGTTTATGAACTGTATGATTAATAAATAGGAATTGAAAAATCAGCTTAGAAAATTTGTAAGTAAATATCACAACCCACTTCCATAAAACTCTGAGTTTTATGAGGATAATTTCCTATGTTAATGTCAAATATTGGCTTTCCTTTATAAACTGTGTAGCTCTGCTAATCCTCATCTTGGCAGTAACTGTGTCTTTTTATTATTGCAGATATTCTGGCTCTGCGGTCGGAGTACAAGGCCTCAGTTATTAACCACATGAGTTCCCGGTAAGTTTGAGGTGTTTGTGGTTCTCAGATCATCTAATGTAGGACTATGGAATCATGGAACCACAGAATAGTTTGGGTGGGAAAGGACCTTAAAGATCATCTCATTCCACCACCTTGACATGGACAGGGACACCTTCCACTAGACCAAGTTGCTCCAAGCCCTGTCCAGCCTGACCTTGCAGGTATGGGACAGCCACAGCTTCTCTGGGTAACCTGTGTCAGGGCCACACCCTTCCACAGGGAAGAATTTCTTCCCAATACCCTGCCCCTCTGGCTGTGGGAAGCCCTTCCCACTTGACCCATCACTCCTGGCCCTTGCTCAAAGTGCCTCTCCAGCTGCCTTGAAGCCCCTTTAGATACAGGAAGGGGCTCTAAGTTATCTCCTTAAATAGAAATTATTCAAAATATGGACAAGATTTCAGGCTTAAAACTGATATTTTTCAAGACACTTTCTTCATTATGTTCACAATTATATTTAGGATTTCAAAATGCAAACCAGGTTTAAAAACAGTAAGTTTTTAAAAACAGCTTAAAAACTGTTTCAATGTTCTCAGGTCTATATTTGTGGGATCCTGGAGCTGAAAAATTATTGGTCCCTTCCCAGCCAAACTGTTTTAGGATTCCGTGATTATGACACACGCTTTGTGAGTGAACTCTGGGGTCTGGTGTCACCCTGGAACTGTCATTCCTGCCTTCACTGGGCATTGAACACTGAATGCTCATGTAATTGTTTTCTGACTTCTAGGCAGCGAGTAGCATTTGAGGAGATTTTCCCACCCTCTACTCCACTGCCTGCCTTGGATCTGCTGAAGAAACTTCTTGTATTTAACCCTGACAAACGGCTCACAGCAGAGGAGGCTCTGAAGCATCCTTATGTGAACAGGTGAGAGTGACATCAGTTTGCAGCTTCCCCTGACGTTTTCTGAGACATTACAAACCTGCTGTTGGCATAAATTTTCTTAGCAAGCATTACAGAAAAATTGGCAAAGCTAATTATTTTCTCCAACCCTATTTACATGAGATTGTGTAACAATCATGTTTAAATTTTAATAATCTGTTTTCAGTCAGTGAATAGCATGTATTCTCATTTCCTCAGATTCCACTGTCCTGCCAGGGAGCCCTCTTTGGATTTTGATGTCATCCTTCCATTGGGTGATGATGTCCAGCTGTCTGTGGCAGAATATCGAAATAAATTATATGAGGTACTTTCATCCTATTTTCCCTAATTCTGATCCTCCAGGTAGCCTGCAATTCTTGCACACATTTAACACATTCTGTCATTGTCTTGTCTTTATGTTCCCCCTGGCTTTCCGTACCTGCTGGCACAGTTACACCTTGGTGTCTGATCAGCCAGTTCCGTACTGTCATCATCTTTGAGAGACCTTTACATCTTAAATTCTTATGGGGCAAAGAAAAATCTCTGAGAAAAACTGGGTTAGAGGGAAATATATTATGCTGGATTCAACAGTCATAGAATCATAGACTCACAGAATGCTTTGAGTTGGAAGGGAATTTAAAGATCATCTAGTTTCAAAATTATACTTGTTACTTTCCATGTAAAATAAATTGCAGATATTTATAAGTATTCATGTTTGTTCTGATGTTGTATTTCTCYGCTGTATTGCTGCATTAAGTCTAAACAGCTTTTCCGTTCTGCAGATGATCCATGAAAAGAAGTCAAAGAGCCTTCCAAAGGAGCAAGGGCAGAGAGAAAACATTCAGCTGAGCCAGTCTGAATCCAGCACACTTCTACCAAGTTTCAGTTCAGTGACTGTACCTGCCAGGAAAGGCCAGCAAGAACCAACACCCCCTCTTCTAAACCCTTCACATGTGCACACTGGAGGCACAGCTGGGGTCCAGCCAACTGAATTCAGCCAGAGCAAGGATTTGGCCAGAACTGTGTGTCAGAAATCACAGAATAGTGTGATGGTGTACAACCCCATCACACACACCACTGTGCAGAGTAAGTACCACTCTCCTACACTGGGGTGTAACTCACCTTGGGGTATTGTTGTGGGAAAGAGAATGAGTGCTGTGAAAGAAATGAAGGGAATGTGCATGGTAAAATGAGCGGGTGGTGTGTGGGAGGGAAATGAYATAACAAAACAGTGTTGAAAGAGTGTTGAGTAYGGGACTGTCCCTGCCTCAGTCAGCRTGTTCTGTGTTCTCCTGATTGTCCTCCTTTCTCTCACATTTTTCCTTCTGCAGGAAATGCAAATCCTGGCACTGGGATCAGGAACTGTTCTGCACCACCTCAACAGTCCAGAATCTCCAACAATGGGAAACTAGGGAGACAAATCACATGGCCAAATGCTCAGCTCTCTCCTACAAGTGTGCAAAACCTCTACAATGTGAGTAACTCTCTGTAGTGCTCCAGGCAGAGCAGCTGGAAAGCTGGAAAARGTCACCTGCTGGTGCTGATAACAGCAGCTGAACATGAGCCTAGGCGTGCCCAGGTGGGCAGGAGGCCAATGRCACCTGGCTTGTACCAGTCACAGTGTGGCCAGGGGCCCAGAGCAGTGCCCGCCCCTATGCTGAACACTTCTGAGAGACCTCCAGTCCTGGGGGCAAGTCTGAGCTCTTTACGACAAGGAAGGAGGGGCCCCTTTGAGGGGCTGGAGTGTGTCCAGAGAAGGGAACAGGGCTGGGGAGGCTCTGGAACAGCAGCAGTAGCTGTGGAGAAAAGGAGATTCAGGGAGGACCTTCTCACTCTCTGCAACTCCCTGAGAGGAGGGTACAGCCAGGCAGGGGTCGGKTTCTGCTGTCAGGGACCAAGTGACAGGAAGAAATGGCCTGAAGTGGTTCTAGGATAAACCCCTAGTGGTTTAGGTTGGGTATTGGAAAAAGCCCACCTGCAAAGGGCTGTCCAGCCCTGGCACAGATTGCTTCAGGGAATGGTGGAGTCCCCATCCCTAGGGAGATATAGCAGACATGTGGACACTGGATTGGTGGTAACCTTGGCAGTGCTGGGGGAACAGTTGGACTCAGTGGGCTCAGAGGGCTTTTCCAATCTCAACGATTCTGTGATTTCATGATTCCATGATTCTGATGGATTGCTGTTGCTGAACTGTGAAGGTGTCAGGCYTGTCCTCTCTGCTTCTTCCTCTTCCCTGTTCTTGGCCAGGCTTCCTTGCAAAAGTCCTTACCTTCACTGGGTTCTTTAGTAACCTCTTGCTCCTGCTTTTTTTTCCCCTGAGCTGGCTGTCTGCTACCTGGTGACTGCTGGCAGAAGTGATCAGAGGAAGAGTATGGAAGRAGGCACCACAGATTGACGGAATCACAGAATCACAGACTGGGCTGGAAAGGACCTTAAAACTTGGGTTGTTCCACCCCCCTGTCATGGTCAGGGACACCTTCCAATAGCCCAGGTTGCCAGAAACTTTCAAGCATGTCCAGTAGCACACTTGCAAGCCACCTCTCAGCCCCTCTGTGGAAACCCTTCCAAAATGTTTTGAAAGTGAGAGAAGCCATTTATTGCCCAAGGTGGGATTGTGGAGCTTGCTGCACATGTGCACATGGACACATGGCAATGCATTTGGAAGAATCTTTAGGGACTTGTGACCAACTTTCTGTGACAGGAAGAGTAGAACAGGGAGAAGATCATGCCCTGAATTTGTGTTTGTTTCCTGAAAGGACAATAGTGACAAAAGCCAAACCTGCTTTCGTATTTGCATTCCAGAAAGCTGATTCCAGGTTATTAAATTTTCTTGGCTTTTCTTTCTCACACAGAATCCCAGAAACCCTCAGTGTCACAACAAAGATGTTCATCCCCTTCTGAAGCCCAGTAAAAAGATGTTCCAGATCACCGCAAATGTGGGAGCTGCGGGTGATCCGAGGGCATCGATGGGCAGCTACTCCCAGGCCTATGGAACCATCAGTAAATCTGCACTGCAGAGTCTTCCGATAGCAAAGGCCTCCACAAACCCTAAGCAGTGAATGTGGAGGTGTTCCAGACAGGTGAAGTACAGTTCATCCCTCAGCCCCTGACTAAGCAAGGGCAGCAGGGGAGAACAAAACATGAGGAAATGCTTTATTCGCTGCATAGGACAATGTCCTCCTTTCCTCTGGACAAGCCAACAGGAAAGGGAATCCAATCCCTCTGCCTTTCARTCTCAGCAGGCAAGAACACAGCATGTTTGCTCTCACACCATGAGAACAGTGAATGCTGCCAATTCATATTCCCTGTTTAAATTACTGCAAAAATTCACAGAAAACTGCAATGTTCTCATACTTGAGTGGTTTTTAGACATATTCAGGGTCCAGGGGAACCTCCTGAAGTTCAACATGGGCAAGTGCAAGGCCAAGAAAATGCTCTGAGGGCTTGAGCCCCTCTGCTCCGGAGACAGGCTGGGAGAGTTGGAAGTATCCAGCCTGGAGGAAAGAAGGCTCCGGGAAGACCTTAGGACCCCTTCCAGTGTCTAAAGGGCTCTAGGAGTTGCTAGAGAGGCACTTTGGACAAGGGCCTGGAGCAACAAAACAAGTGGGAAGGGCTTCCCACTGCCAGAGGGCCGGGTGAGATGGGATCTTGGGAAGAAATCCTTCCCTGTGAGGGCTGTGAGGCCCTGGCACAGGGTGCCCAGAGAAGCTGTTGCTGCCCCATCCCTKGCAGTGTTCAAGGCCAGGTTGGATGAGGTTTGGAGCAACCTGGTCTAGTGAAAGGTGTCCCTGCCCATGGTAGGCAGGGGTTGGGATTGGGTGACCTTTAAAAGGTCCCTTCTGACCCATTCTAGGATTTTTCAGCAGTATGCCTAAATGGCAGGTATTTTTTTGAGCAGAATAGGTAACAGCCCTTTACTCATTTCTATGACTCTTCTGGGGTAGATGAAGAGACCATTGTGGTCTGGTTTTGTCAAAATTAAGTAGAAAAGGATTTGAAATACATGTAGGTTCTTCTACAATTTTTAGCAGCTTCGCTATTGTGTAATATTGTAAATATTGTAATAAAAAATACTTTATATTGCACTGCAGCAAATCTTTGTCCTTCAAGTAGCATTTGCTGTGTTGAGAGGGAAACTACCTATTGGTAGGGCTGTCTTCTTCAATGAATAATTGGTCATTTTTATTGTTTTTGCTTTCAAAAAGCAAAGTTTCATGAGATACTATTGATGAAACAGTGAATGTGTTGCCAGTCTCCAGTGGGACTACAGGAAACTTTATATTCCTGTTTCAATGATGATACTGGATACATTTTCCTCAATAACTTGAAGTTCTTATCTCTGTCCCTGAAGTTTTACTCTACCTGTCATAAATGATTGTTATTCCCCACCCCCAGCTCTCTCAGCTGCTCCTGCTGCTCCACACCTGCTACTTCATGAACTGGAGTTACACTGTCAAGGAAGTCACACTTGGCCAAGGCAGGATTTTATTTTAGATGCTCAGACTCAGCTGAAAAGGCCTCCTAAAACCAGGTCATTCTCCCTYCATAGCACCTCAGCAGTTTCTTTCGGCTCAGCCCCTAAAGCAAATAATTTCCTATACAAAAAGGAACAAACCACAAGCAAACCAGACCCCACAGGCTCAGGCACTGGTAAATACAAAAGCTGGGCCTGTGCTGCTGGAAAAGATCAGAAACACAGATTAGGCCAAAACGTTGGTTACAACTATTTCTTTGTTTGTAAACCTTCAAAAAATAGCCTCCTGTGTCTGATTCATTGTGAGACAGAAAAATAATAACTTTACCTGAGAAACAAACGGGCTTTAAAAACTTTTTCCATTTCATATGTGTCTGTGTCTGTGTCTGTGTGTATTTATCTTCCTTGGACCAAACTCAAGTAATGGATTTTCTCATTTTTAATCTTTTCTGAAATTGGAATGGTTTTGCTGCTGAAAATATTCCCTGGGTTTAACAGAGACTTTAAAAAAAGAAGAACTGTTTAAAAAAAAAAGAACTTCTGTGTTTTAAGCATGTCGGCAATTTAATTATTTTATTTGGAACATACTGTGATATACCTGACTTTATGGAGCCAGCTGTGCTGTGAGAGGCTCATATTGGATACATTTCTGCTCACTAACCAAGAAGAGCATTGCCATTGGGGTTTGTAGCCTTCATAGACAAGTTTCTTTCTCGTTCCCCTGTGACAGTCAGTGGTTAAATGGAATTAAATAGGATTTCTAGGATCATTTTTTGGTCTTGAAGGTCCCCAGGATTTTGGGCATGAATTTTCCCATTTTCTTGTCTTTGGCATCCGTGTCGTATTCCTCTTCACTCGGACTCGTGTGTTCATCCTTCTTGCAGAACACCTCAAACCTGCTGTAGACTCGCTTCTCCTTCCGCATGTTCTCCATTTTTTTCAGGAGGGTGTCTCTATCCTCTGACGGCTGCCGCTGGAAGTTCCGTTTCTGGCTCCCAAAGCTCTCAGACCTGTGGATGTTGCAGCTTTTCTCCTTTTCCCCTTTCCTTTCCAAGCTTGTGGTTGATCTGGAGAGGTCAGGGTTGCTGGTGGATGGCAGCTGCTTCGCCAGCTCAGCTCTGTTCTTCTGGCTGTTGGCAGAGATCTGCTCCAGGATCACCTTGGTGTCATCACGCAGGTTGCTGCTATACAAGATGTTGGCTGTGGARGAAGGGAACCTCCCTTGTGTTGTCTGGCTGCTCTTGGTGGGGAGCGGTGCTGCAAATTTGTGGGTTTTTTCTTCCTCCATCGCTTCCGAGCAGTCCCCTATGGACGATCGTTTGAGGACCACTGCCTGTTTGTCACATTTCCCACTCTCAGAAGCAGGTTCCTCCTCCAATTTTTTTTCACCTTTTGGGTTCAAAAGCTGCTTCAGCCGTAGTGACCCTTTTCTTAAAAACTCCATGGGATTTTGTTCTTGTTTTGAACAGTCTTCCTCAGATTTGTTGAGAGAGCTGTCAGACCCTTGACTTCTAGACAGGCTTTCTAGAGCTGAGGATGTAGTACTTGTCCTCACCTGTGGTTTCTTAATTTCTGTGTTGACTAATTTTTGAGTGTCTTCTCTGAAGGTCACTCTGTCCTTCTTCTCTGGAAGAGCTAATTTCTGAGTGTCTCCCACAAATATCAGGCTCTCCTTCTCTGGAAGAGCAGGTTTGTTCTCGATGGGATAAAACCGGGATGACAACTTGTCCACCTTAGTGCCAAGATGTGCCAGGGGATCTTTACTCAACACATCTGCAAGCTGGGGGGTGGATGAAGCCATCCCAAATGCTCTGTCCAACTCTCCATGCATTTTGTAAGTACTGCAGGAATCCTTGGAGTCCAGCACCCTGCTCTCCAGAATCTTATACTGCACAGATTTGGTACATTTCTTCTCCGTATTCTGTGATTCCTCCTGTAGGTAACCCGAAACAGCTTTGGTGTGGGTGACTGTGCCCCGTTCCATGTCCTTGCCCACGGCTTTGTACTTCTCCAGCAGCTCAGCCACTTTGGAGGAGGCAGCCGTCTTGATGGTTTCATTGTCCTTTGTTAACTCACTGGACATTTGCTCTTTTTGGATCATCTGTACCTTTTCTATTGTGGTGTTGGACTGATCTAATTTGGCAGCACTGAAAATCAGAGAGGACCTGAGTCTGGAGCTCCTCTGGATCAAGGGATTTATCCTGGATCTGAAGGCATCAGGTTTCATTATGGAGGTTTCTTCACCTGCTCTATCAGGATCTGCAGATTCCTTGGCACTGTCAATTCCCAGTGATTTGCTATTGAAAGGCATGGGGGATTTGAAGGCTGGGACAAGGTCAGTGGGGTGCTTTGTGAGGGAATCCCCAAGAGCATCGTTATAAGCCTCAGACTCCATTGGCATCGGGAGCCCTTCATCTGGTTCGGACTGGTACGCACTGAGGTACGAAGAAATCCTCCAGTTTCGTAAGCCTGTTCTGTTTTCCTGCGTGTTCTTGTCATCGTCCTGGTCCTCATCCTTGTCCTGTAGGAACAGGCGCTGCTCCAGGCTCTGCTTCTGTGTGGGAGAAGTCTGGCAAATGAATTTCTGTCCTATATTCTGCCTCCGTAACATCATTCCCATTGGGCCATTGCCTGCAGGGTTCAGCTGATCAGAGCCATGTCTCACCTCCCTGGAAGAATTGGAGGGTACATAATCCAGCCGCAAGGGGAAACCCTCCTGCGGGAAACTGGGTTCCAGTTCAGGGTATCGGGACCCCTCTCCGTAGTCTTCCAGTTCATTGAATCCYGGCCTTCCGCCTCGAAGCCTCTCAAAGAATCCCTGAGGTCTGCCAGAAAGRTGGGGATGTTCAAACTGGTACTGGTAGAATTGGTCCTTCTGGAAATGACTGGATTGGATTTTGAACTCGTCCATGTTGTTCATGAACATCTGCCGGGCATACTGCTTGCTAGCAGCAAAATTTTCAAACGTTCCTTCTGCAAAACTGTGTCTCTTAAAAGCATCCAACTCCAGCTGCTTGGAACGGAGGAAACCCCTGACTGGATCCATCTGGGAATTCTCCATTTCCACCTTTTTATACATCCTCATGGCTGACCCCTCCACAGTGTGCCGCAGCATGTCGTCTCGTCGAAAATTGGAGAGGAAGTACCTGTCCGGATCCACTCTGTCCATGAAGGAGGGGAAGAGACTGTCGTCCCTCTGGAACATCAGGGGGCCTTTTTTGGGAAAGAAAGGCATGTTATTGCCAAATGGAGCCATGGCAAATGTGTTCTCTGCCTTTGCCAAGACATTGGCTGGAGGAACGAGAGGTTCCGACTGTGCAAACAAAATGCGGAATTCTTCATCAAAGCTGGCCACCAGCTCGCCCTGAAAGATGTGCGCAATGCTTCTGTGAATCTTCTCAAAGGACCACATGAAACTACAGAGAGAACAAGTGATGGAGGGTATTAGCATAGAGTAATTCAGCTGTACCTGTTTTCATTTAAGCATTTGCTCACCTGAAGCAAATTCTAAATTGTCTGCTCAGGCAGAGATAGGGCGAAATAACAGCAGAAAATTCCCGTGGAACTACTCGTTATACGATTGTTCCCAAATCTCACAGTTACAGATTGATTTGGGATCACATCTTTGTAGAGGATTTTACAAGGCAATAAATAATTTCTGTTCTGTCACGCCAGTCAGTCATGTCACCCAGAGTGAAAGATGATGATAATCCTTCTGTGGAGTAGATCTTCCTGTCTTTAACACTGTTAGTAATGAACTGGACAACACTCAGTGTGTACCCTCAGCACTTGGCAGGTGACACCAGTCACGGGACCCCAAAGGCTGGGGAGATGTGCCAACAGGAACCTCTGAAAAGACAAATCCAAGATCTTACTCCTGGGGTGGCACAACCCTTCCACCCACACAGTTTGAGGGGGCCTGAACAGAAGGAGCTGGGCTGAAATGAGGGAGGAAGACTTTCAGTGTTAAGGTGTTCATTTTCCCAAGTCAAGTCCTGCATTTTTTCCCCCGATCTGCTGACCAATGGGAAGCAGGGAAAGGATCCCTTATTTTGCCTTGCCTGCATGTGCAGGTTTGCTGTAGCTGTCGAAAACTGTATCACAACCCAGGAGTCTTCTCACTTTTACSATTCTCTACCACATCCTGCTGGGAATCATGAGGGACACTTGTGTGAGGCTTAGCTGCCTACTGGAGTTAACCAAAACCCTTAGAATTAGTGTCATGTTTTTTTGGTTTTTTTTTTTTAACTGATTTTTAAATTCTTAATGAGAAGGAAGCCTGTTTTGGGGTTGTCAGGGCTCAAGGACTTCTTTAGTTGGCRTATCATACCTCCACTGCAAAATGGAGTACTTTTCTTGAAAAATTGCAGCTGAGTGTCCTTCAGTGAGCAAAACTTTTGTCCCTGATATCAATGTACCAGAATGCTGCTTTACCAACTCAGCAGCCTGTTTTTCAGAACCCCTGAATGGTTTGGGTTGGAAGGGACCATCACACATTGTTTCACCCCCTGCCATAGGCAGGGACACTTTCCACTAGCCCAGGTTGCTCCAAGCCCCATTGAACCTCGTCTTGAACACTTCCACAACTTCCCACTWCAGAAATCATAAAATATTTGAAAGCCCAAAGCACGAGACTGTGGCAGAAGTAGTCTTGAACAATTAACTTTATGCTCTCAGAAACAAAAAATGATCCAATTGGAACAGTTAGTTGCTTGGTACAGCATCAAGAAAGCAATTCTTTTCAAACATCAGGAAAAAAMCCCAAAGTGGAACCTTATTATTAAGAAATGGGCGCTTTAATCAGATTCTTATATTTGTGAGTCTTTTTTCTTCGTATACTGCATTTTAAATTACCCTTAATTCTATTTGTCTTCCACCACGAGAAACAAATCATGGTAGGCTTTGAGCATCCTGGTCTAGTAGGTTTCCCTGCCAGCAGCAGGGGTGAAACCATATGAGCTTTAAGGTCCCTCCAGCCCAAACTGTTCT